AGCAAAGCAGAACCAAAAAGGAACAGCCACTGAGTGTATATGATTAAAAACACTTACAGAAAGTGACAAGCATTTCCTGTTTTCAACACGCCAAGTTAGTTTTTCCTCTGAAACTCTTTTAGCTTGCATCGTCATGTCGTATTGTATAAATACCAACTCAGCATTTCCCGTTTACAGTTTCTTCCAAACTTATTTCTGCAAATACTTCAAGATACTTTCAGCAATTTCAACGGTGCAGGTATAAAAAAAAGTCACCTCATTCAGCAGATAGGTGCTGTGGCTTTGGCTAAATACATTTTATACTTGTTAAAATATTTAACTTTTACTTATGAAGGACTTTTTGGTGCCCTTAAAATGAAGCTGGATTTTTAATCTTAGCTCATTTTAGGTTTTGAGGTTTTGTTCAGTTAAATATAATGTTTGGGTACTGCTGAGCTGATTTAAGCTGATAAGGCAGTTATCTTGCTGGTGTTATAGGGTTCAGCAATTGTTTTAACTAACTTTGGCTTTTAGGAACAAGTTTGCTACTTTTTAACTACTGTTTTGCTAATCTTATCTTTTAACAACTGACTTGCAAATGTTTAGCTTTTAGCTACTGTTTTATCTATTTTTAGTTTACTGTTTTATTTATCTTAGCATTTAACTGTGCTAATTTTGGTTTTGGCTAGTTTTGACACTGCAACTTTTACTGGGCTTTACTTTTAGCTTTGCTTTAGTTAGTTTTAGCTCATAGCTAATGACTTTAGGTACTTGTATTTGATTGTTTTAACTTCAATAATTCAGTTTCAGCATCAACAAATTTAGGCAAAATCATTCAGCACTCAGGATTCAAGGCATTTTTTATTTATAGTTTATTTCTATTTCAGGAATTAAAAAAATATATTTAAAGTTTTAAACTAAACTTCCTGAACATTAATGTTTCTCTCTTTTGGTTTGTGTTGCTCAGTATTTGAATGTGAGTGTTTTAATTTACTAAATTGTGTTTATGTTCTTCATTTATGGTAGATGGTTTCAGTCTGTAATAAACAGAAAATCTGGTTCAAGTAAGTTTATATATGAAAATGTTCCTTTTTTTTCTAAAGCTTTTCAAACTCTTCTTTATGATGGAGAAATGACAACAAAACATTTCTCATTACTGTAATATTTATTGACCCAAGATTCTTCATTCTGTCTTCAGGCGTTACTCTTTTGGTAGTGGGATTTTTTTTTTTTTTTCAGGTGTAAATTTAAAATAAATAGGAAAAAAGTTAAAAGCATTGTTTGACCATTTTGAACTGAACTTCTAATGTACTGTGCTGATTTTGTAGCAAATATCTTAGGTCCTTATATACTGTTTCTTTTTATACTTTATATTTTTGCTATTTTGGGGTGTAACTGGAACCCTGAGTACACAGTTCTGTTCCACCTCATGTACCACGTGTGATGCAAATGACAATAAAGAACCTTAAACCTTGATGACACAGCTGATCAGGTACTACTTATTGATAAGTCCTTTAATTTAAAAAATGACTTTAAGATAGCTAAAATATACCTTTTAAGAATACAGTAGTCCCTCATTTATTGTAGGAGGTCTGAACCCTGAAGCCCCACGATAAGTGAAAAACAGCAAAGTAGGAATAGTAGTACAAGTAATAAGTACCAGTAGTAGTTTATTTTAGTATATATGTATATATTAAGGTGTTTTACACCCTTCCCACACTCTTGCAATGTTCTAAACAATGTTTCTAAACTCTAAGCGATCTAAAAGAGCACAGAATGCCATGATTTCAGCTCTCTGCCTCCTGCTGCACTCTTGGCCACGCCCACTTCTCTGCTGCAGAGCGGAGATCAGCTGATCAGCTGCAGGAGGAAGCTTTTTTGCAGCTGTAGGCTGCACACAGGTACTAAATAATTTTAAATAATTTATTTTAAATAAAAATTCCATACCGATCGTGCAGCTCATCCATCAATCAGCCAGTTGTGTGTCATGTCCAATCTTACTTTGGAAAACCGCAATAGAATGAGTCCGCGAAAAACGAACCGTGAAGTAGCGAGGGACTACTGCATCCTGATGCATGCTCAATAATTTAGGTAGATAAATCTAACAAAGTTGGGTCAGGTCCAACCTTCAAAGAATCTGTCCAGTGGACCTGACTCAACCTTGTTAGACCTTTTAGGTATACAGTACAGTCATTTTGAATGGGCTTTTGTGGGAGTTATAGTTTTCCGCCTGCCAAACTCACTTTCTCCTAAAACTGCAGCAAACACTAATCAGCCACTTCCACCCACCTGAGCCTGAGTAGGAGAACAACTCTGCAAGTGTATAAAAGCTTCTGCCAGACACTCCTTCAGTGCTGGTAAATTATAATTTTAATGGTAAAGGTAAAGGACAGCCTCTGAGTTGGCTCCTGACATTTGCTTGCTCCTACAGCGACGTTCTAGTCCTGGAGTCTTCCAGCCTTCCAAGGCATCTTTGCTTGACTCACTCTGATGGTCCCAGCTACAATTCAAAACCTCCAGCCTGAATCAGCAACCTGCTGCTCCAACACGACCTGTTCCTCTTTCCAACGTTGCTCACTTTTCTAAAAGTCTGAACCTCCTGGAACCTAGGACTCCACGACTCTTCCCTCTGGCTCCTACAACAAAAACATTCTCAGTAAGCAATTTAATTTGCTCTCCATGATTAATTCTCCTTGAAACATATTTAAAGATCCACCTTGTCCCTGCTACTTTTTCAGCCCTGAACCCAGCGCCTGTAAATAAAGACACTTATTTTTGTATACCTGTCTCTGTTATTCCTTCAGCATGCCACTTGGGGGTCGCTATAACATCCAAACCATGTTGACTTCAAGGAGCTTCAAAGTAAATAAAATTAAATAAAAATTCCACTGGACCTTGGCTCCTAAACAGCTTAAAATATTGTAACTTAAAAACATAAGGCTAAAAAGAAAATCATAAATCTATTATGAGTGAAGTCTGAGAATTTTTTTTCTTGTACAAAAAGAGAGAAACAAAAATCTACAATATATTGAAGGTTTGCAACCACCTGCCATCTCCTGCTGCCACTGCACCTGGGTCCCCTTATTTTTTTAAGGACAATAAATTTAACTTCAATCCTGAACAGATGATTATAATGGAGAAATGATAAAACTGCACCTCTGTCTGCTCCATAAAACATCTGTGCGGGTTTTTACATCCCTCTGCCACCACTGCTGGAGAGGAGAGAGCAGGAAGAGGTCTCACTCTGCTGGTATTCCTGGTTTGTATAAACAAGGCAACATCATTGAAGAAACATAAAAGGGTATCCGTTTTAATAAACTTTGTGCACAAACCAAAATACACAAAGATGCTGAATTTTAGCTGTGAATTTATTTTGTGTGATGCCAGTTCATTTTTTGTTTGAGCGTAGAGCATTAAGAAAAACACACTCGCTCAATCCAGCCACGTGCCGAGCTTTTCAGTACACCAAGAAATTAAAAATCTGTTCCGTATCTATAAAGTCATGAATGAAATTGCGATTTAGATAAAAAGTCTCAACAAGGACTTTTTCAATCATTCAAAGAACATGTACATTACAATCCTAAAAAACTAAAGAAATAGTTACTAATAAGTGTATCTAGTTGATAATGTGCAAACATGTAACAACTTAATATCCTGATGCATGCTCAATAATCCCGGTAGAAAAATCTAAAAAAATTAAATCTGGTCCTCTGGACATAAAAAAAACAAACAAAAACAAACAAACAAACAAAAAAACTTAACAACTTAATGATTTTTACTCAATAAATTAGAGACATTTTTTTCCCTTTGATTCCAGATGTCATTCTGAATTTCAGCAACATATTTTATGCTCTTTACATTTTGTATGTTTGTAATAATACATTCTTGATTTTTTTTTTTTGCTGAATTTGTTTGCATGTACAACTGTACATGAGCTCTTTGACATTAATTGTGTTTTCATGCTGGACATTCAGTCTACAATCGTCATCAAGAGACTTTTTATCATTCAGTAGGTCTAACCCTACCTACATCAGCAATGGCATCTCATGGTTTAAAAAAATATAATTTTTAATTGATTTTTACAGATAGTCTCATTGAGTCACGATAACTCATTTTCAAGAAAGGCCTGTTTAGGGAGCAGATGGTGGAGGTTAAGGGCCTTGCACAAGGGCCCAGACTGGGACGAATGAGGGTGGAGGCAGGTGTGGGTGTTTCACCTTTTCCACCCACTATTTTGATGTTGACGGTACTGGGAGTTGAACATGTGACTTTTTGTGTTCAGGAGAAGAGACACTTTTACTGGGCTCCTTACAACTCGTATTCTCAGGGAGGGCTAAAACTCAAACTTGATCATTCTTGATGAAAACTCCTTATTTTGTATGCAGTTTATAAGCTTCATAAGTCTTTTTACTTTTTGAAATATAGTTAGAAAAAAACAATCTTACCAACATGCACACTTTTGAATTTCGTAGTGCTGAGAAGGCTTTCATATATATATATATATATATATATAAACTCATTTCTGCCACCATGAAGGTAAAATAAACAAACAAATAAATAGATAAATAAATGAAATAAAAATCCACTAAGTCACGATTATAAGATACTGATTTTAAGATACTATCACAAAATTATGACAACATCTCCAAAGTTCTGATTTTATATTTTGTAGTTATGGTGTTGAATTTCATCATTATGTAACACTATTTAAAAACATGATTTAAATTTGTCAAAGTTGTGACTTTGCACCCATTAATTGTGAGATGCTAAGTGACAATGTTGAGAAATTTTGGAATTTTGACTCGAGTAATTCGTTATTTTTATTCAAGCGTCAAAAATGTCCTTCCATTTTTTTTTTAAAACGGTTTTGCCTAAATCTTTTTGATCCTACTAAAATAATTTGATTATTAATGCTTAATAATAAAGTGCGTGCCTTATCCTCTGACAGAGTGACGCATCTTACTTTTAGAGGATCTTCGTTACTACTGCTCTCTGTCTCTGCCCCTCCTCCTTCTACTCCACGCTCCTCTCTCGAGCTTCTCTCTTCAGCTTCAGCCCCTCTTTTGAAGCGTGCGCGAGGCGACGGGCACTGAAGCGCGAGGCGGTTCTCCCCGTCACTTCAGTCAACATGGCCACACTTGTAACCTCGACCAGATTCACAGACGAGTATCAGCTGTACGAGGAACTCGGAAAGTAAGCGTCCTTTCAACACACCGCCGCCTCTGCTGCTTCTCTTGTTGCATTCAGCCTGCTCGTGTATTTGTGTCCGCCCGCGCGCGTGTGTTTGTGCACGTTTTTCTCTCCTTTCTGCTGCCATTGTATGCGTTTACTTCAAGTGTTGACGAGGCAGAAGTGTAGCTGTCAGAACCCCCTCCCAGCAAAAAAGCAGGGAAGGGTCGTGCAACAGTAAGCTGTCGGGTTAGCTCTGCGGAGGCTTGGGTTTAATCCCGTGGGTGGATTTTAAAGGTGCATCACGCCATTTGCTTCTCTTTAATTTAAAGGTGCTTCACGCACACCTATAACAGACCAAGGTGTGCGTCTGTGCAGGTTGCACACCTTTGAAATCTCGTTGATCCACACGTCGTGGCACCTCCACGGTCCTGCTCGGCCACAAAAAAATAAATAATATAAGGTTTTGCTGCAAGAAGATTGAGGGGTCTGAAATTTTCCACGTGAAAGGACGTCTGGAGGACTGCAACTATTCTAGCTGCAAAGCTACTTTGTGACTTGTCCGTGCGTGTGAGGCTAATAAAGCTGCTCCATACAGACAGGAGTTTAAAGGAGGTGTCTGCAAAAAAAACAAAGCAACTCAAAAAACGCAGCAGACTCTTTACATAACCTCCCTGCCTCTCCTGGAAGCTCAGTCCTCGCCTCCTTCTACAGGTGTGCAGTGGAGAGCATCCTGTGCTCCATCAATGTGTGGCATGGAGGCTGCACAGCTGCAGAAAGAAAAGCTTTGCAGAGAGTGGTGAAGGCTGCACAGAAGACTGTTGGAGTCAGTCTCCCCACCATCACAGACATTTACACCTCCAGATGTAGGAAGAGAGCTGGCCATCTGCATCATGAAGGACCCCACTCACCCAGCGCACACACACTTTTTGCCCCGTTCCCCTCAGGAAAGAGGTTAAGGAGCATTAAGTGTAGAACCACTAGACTGAGGAACAGCTTCTACCCTGGCTCATGAAGCTCTAACCAGGATAATCACTGTGGAAAACATAATCACATCATGTTGCTGCTGATCTGTTTCACGCTGCTGCTGATCTGTTTCACGCTGCTGTGTTCATTCGTGCTCATCTGCTCACACAGACTCATGTTCATGCTGCTGTTCTTATTGTTTTTTTAGTGCTTAGCGTATTTTTAGTTAATGCTTTTCTTAGTTCATATCTTAGATCTTATCACTGTTTTTCTTTTACATTTTATTGTTGGATGTAACTGGGACCCTGCGTACAAAATTTTCTTCCACCCCATGTGGTGCACATGACAAATAAAGAAACTCTGACTCTGTCATGCACCAGTAGACAGGACCCATCTCCAAACTCAGAGTATTAGATTATTTTAATTATGCATGTGACTTTGTTCGCCCCCCTCCTTATTTAGCAGGATGTGATTCATGCATGTCTTCAGTTGTAAGTTCAAATGTTCCAAGTGCTCCCACTGATCTGTCTTCCCCGTTGTCAATCTCTCCTGCTCCAGGGGTGCCTTTTCCGTTGTTCGCCGATGCGTCAAGAAGTCCACGGGGCAGGAGTATGCTGCCAAAATTATCAACACAAAAAAGCTGACGACCAGAGGTGAGTGTGGCAGATCATCATCGTGGCTGTGTGGCTCTGTAGAGGTGGAAGTTTTTGTGAGCTGGTCAGTGGGAGCAGCAAGTCAGGCGTCCTATCCCGTCATGTTCTTGCCAGTGGAGATTCCTAGAAAGCTGAAGGCCGCTTGGCACAGCTGAGCCGCTGCACTTTAGTTCTTACCGAGAGATTTAGTGGGGTTTGGCTCCTGTCTGCAACCATTTGTGGTTTTGTGCTTCCAACTCGAGCTTCAAATGGTCGCAACTGTTTCTGCAGCTTGTAGTCGAAAGACAGTTTTGAAATCTGTTCGTTCCAATTTCCTTTGATGGGAAGACAAGATGACCAGACAGGTTTAGACAAGCAGTTCAGGTTGTTCAGTCTTGCATATTTGTTGGCTCAACTTTTTTATGAAGTGCTTAAACACCAGAGATTTCTCGTTGTTCCTCTTTTATGTCGTCTACAGATGTTGCACTGTTAGTTTTTGACATCACCGAGTTAAGCACAACCAATAAAGTATTGTTTTATTTGGTGTCTACTTAAGAACTATTTATTATTTATTGAAACATTTCTTCTTGCATCTTTTCAGACGCCACCCAATGAAACTTTTATACCGTTTTTATTGCAAGCATTTGTTGAAGGAATGCCTATTGCCCACTGTCTTCTGTCTTAAACAAAGATCTTATAATTAAAAAAAGTTGATGTTATAGCAGTTTGAGTCAAACTTTGTAAATTATGTTATGTGCAATCTCATGCTAGATGTGTTAGCTCTCAGAATATGTGTTGAGAATGACTCTCTGCTACTACCACACCCAATGTTAGCTCAATATCTGCAACAATGACTGAATTATTGCCACTTGTGAATTTTCTAAGGTTTCTTAGCTGTGGCAGCCATCTTGAATTAGCTTGACTCCAAAGATAAATCCGTTATAAATTTACATCCAACAATTTTAAATAGGTTCAGTGGTTCATGAGATATTTTGCTGACAGTCTGCTTGACTCCAACAGTTAATGTCAACGTTGTCAGCAAAGATTCCTCGTAATGAGTTGTGCTCAAAGTATGTGTTGGGGAAGGTGCACACTAAATTAAAAACCGGCATCTCCAAACAAGGCTCTGCAGGCAGAAGCAATGTCGCTACAGAAAAGTGGATGTGGCGAATACACACATGCACACACACATTTCTGTGTGTGTGTCTCTGGACTTGTAGTGATGTTTCTCACTTGTTTCTTCAGAGAGTCCATGTTTAGCTCAAACAAATATGTTTCTACCATATATGGGGGCCGAGATGGTGTAGAGGCAGGGCAGCCGGCTTGGGACCCGAAAGTCCCAGGTTCGATCCCCAGTCACTGCACATCACGTGGCGTCTCTGGGCAGCACGTCTCATCCCCAAAATGTCCCCCGGGCGCTTTCAATAGCTGCCCACTGCACCACCTGGTGGTGGATGGGTTAAATGCAGAGACTAATTTCGCCATTGTATGGAAACATACAGTGCTGACATTGTGATGACATTATTATTATTATTATAATGTGTGATTACTGGTAGCACTGAACCTCATGTTCAAATACCACCTCCTGTGTTTTGGTATGTATGGCAGATTTGTTGTCTGTTAGTTGAGCAGTATGCGTCTTAGCGAATCTGCCATATCCAAGTATATGTCTATTTTTTTTCTTCTGTGGGTTGTTTTGGTCGTTATATGTGTCTGTGTTTAGGCCTGTCACGATAAAAAATTTTGCTGGGCGATTAATTGTCTCAGAAATTATTGCGATAAATGATAATATTGTTTGAAATTTGACAATAATTAGTCATTATTGTCAAATTTAAGAAGAAATGTTTTCTATCTTAATTAGTTTTTAGTGTAGTACCTTTATTCGACCACCGGATGGCAGTATAAGACTGTTTGAACTGAAGGATGGATAGTGAGGGAGCGAGCAGCGTGGCTCTTTAAGAAAAATGGGAGGGAGGCACTTTGGAGCTTTGACAAAATGGATGTTTATTCCCAAGGTTGGCCTGTTCGCTCGTAACTTAGCTTCTCAGCTTAGCTGCTTTTAACGATCCAAAAATGCGATTTTAGACGGTTAAAACTGATTTTAAAGAGAAAAGAGAAAGGGAGGGGTCAGTGAAGAGCACCGGAGTTGAGCCGTGTCTTCAGTAGAAAGAGAGACACGAAAAAACGATAAAGCCGATAAATGAAAACGAGGTTGATAATTTTCATTCATCATGCGGCTAATTAATTTATTGTTTATTGCGACAGGCCTATTTGTGTTAGCACATGTATTCCACTGCGCCTCCTCATGTCTTGGTGCGTGCATCGAGTCGGTCCCGGTAAACGTCAGCGCAGCTCTGCTGAAGGTTGAGCGATGATGCGAGCTGCAGATCGGGGCCGGTTCTGGACTGACTGGGCGGCCTTTGTCTCAGGAGAGACCAGCTGAATTGCTCAGTTTCTACCACCCATACAATTCACTTTTCTTTTTAGGATGTTGTCTCTTTTCTCTTAAGCCCCCTTTCTCATTTTTGCAAACAAATGATTGATTTTGAGCAAAGATCCTAAAATCTTTGTTCACCAGTCGATTAGATGGTGTGTGTGTGTGTGTGTGTGTGTGTGTGTGTGTGTGTGTGTGTGTGTGTGTGTGTGTGTGTGTGTGTGTAAATGTGTTGTCCAAATCTTGTAACCCGGCAACAGCAAGAGTAAAACTCTTCAACCCATAGGCTATCTGGCTGAGAAACCAATTTCTTTCTGGCTGTATGTATCAGTTTGTTGTGGTCACAGACATCACAAAACACACAAACAGATGACAACTCTTCTTATTTGCAACCCATAGTTGCATTGCACACTCCCACCCCCCCCCCCACCCCCCGCCACAGCCTTGCTGTTGTCTAATAACATCTTACGCGGTCTGTGTGTACAGTTTCACAATCTAAAATGCAAGTAGACATGAGTCTGTCCTTCAGAGCACATTGGCCTTAATCAAAACTGAAATGTGCTGCTAGTGCTTTTTTCTTCTCACCAGTGTGCATTAGTTTGATGCACACCACATTAATACTATACCACTGCATCTAAGAATACTTCCTGTTTACTGCAGCTTTTTCTGTAAGTGATTAATATTGTTGTTTTGTTAAAAAATACTCAGTTTATTTAATATTTAAAATAGTTGTATGTTCAGTAGGAACTCACTGAAGGGCTTTTTAACAGCTCATATTGGTCCAGTCCTTTTCTACTTTTTACTTTTTGTTGCTGCTTCTTCTTTTTCTTCTTCTTCATACTCTTCTTCTTGTTCTTCTTACTCTTATTCTTATTATTTAGCGCCTGTCAAAAGTTGGACGTATTGCAGTATAACCTCCATCTGTAAATCCATAAACATTCTTTTGTATTGGCCATAACTTAAGATAATTTAAAGAAACTTGATTCAGTTATCCATCATCACTAGTGCCATGTACTCTTCATCACCCCAACTCCAAGGTGAAGGTCACAAATGAAGGCCAAAGTTAAAACAAGGGCTTTGCTTGTCTGGACTACAATGTCTGCTCCACTCAAGATAGTTTAATAAAAACTTGATCTGAATTGTACTATCACCAGACAGCTTGTGGCGTAATGTTTTAATCACCTCAGCTCTAAAGCCAAGGTCACAAACTAAGGTCAAAAGTTAAACAATGACTTTGCTTGTCCAGGCCATTGCTACATTCTGTATTACTGTACAAGTTTGTCGATGAGCGCATAATGTGCTGTATGTGGCACCCTTGTTTTTAAACGAGTTTGTTGCTGAAGCTTAGAGTACTTTGGGTTTGCGTTGTTTTAGAATAAACATTCAAGCAAGTATTTTTTTTTTTCATCTGCGTTTTGTTGCGCGGCAATTTTCCACTGTCTGAGACAGCTACAAACAGAAACTTCCTTTCTAAGCCTCTGTTGCTTTAATGTTGCCTTAGATGAAGCGTTGGGAGATGCAAGTGGAACCGTTGTGACAATCAGTAAAATATTCCGCCTGCACAGAAGTGGTGCTACCTATAGTTGAAAGTGAAATGCCTAATCTAAAACCTGGTTAACCTTTATTTATACAGGTTAGTCCCATTGAGCCTCGGGGACTCATTTACAAGAGAGACCTGATTTTAACTAAAGAGCGATGACAACAGTGGACAACAAAGACAACAGTAGACAATCAGAAAATAAAGCATACTAATTGAGAAGAACAAGTGGTTCTTGAGGAACCACTTTTCTACAAGAAAATGGTATTAAAAAACAAAACAAAAAAACATCTAGATTGTAAGGCAGTGTAGAAAACTAAAAACAGGAACATGTCTGCAATGGTTTTTGCCATGAACTTAGCAGATGTTTGAAGCCAATTAGAGAGGTCAAGGTTGAGAGCTTCAGATCTTTTTGCAAGATATTCCAGGATACAGGAGCAGAGTAGGAGAAGGTTCTTTTGCCTTCAGTCTGTACTGAGGGAACACTGCAGGTAATAATGTCCTTAGAGTGCACGCTGTAGCTGCACTCACGCAGAGACATGTAGGAGGAGATTTATAAAGGCAACAGACCAAGAAGTGATTTAAAGATGAAAATGTACCAGTGAGAGAGTCTGTGTGAAGTTAATGGTGACCATTTAACCAGTGAATACAGGGTGCAACAATGGGTACGTTAGTTACAGCCAGTTATGAATCTCAGTGCACCATAATAGACAGCTTCCAACATCTGCAGGATGCTTATAGGGGCGTTCATGTAAATGATGTCACCGTAATCAATGGGGGGAAGGAAAGTCACAGTTATAAGGTGTTTCCTAGCATTCAGAGTTAAACAGGATCTATTTCTGAAAAAGAAACCCAGTTTAACTTTCAGTTTCTTAACCAAGTTTTCCACATGGAGCTTAAAAGAGAGATGCGAAACGACCAAGATACCCAAATATTTGTAGGAATCGACAAACTCAATAAGGGCACCATTCGAGGATAAAATCGAAGGAAGAACTGCTGGGACTGACTTCCTGTTTGAAAACAGCATCCCTTTGGTTTTGTCTGTGTTTA